GTCCTGCTAGACCGCAGCGTTCGACACTGTCGACCATAATGTTTTATTACAGTGATTATAGCATGTTGTAGATATTAATGGTACTGTGCTGCAGTGGGTTGAATCATATCTATATAATAGACTCTGACTTTGTAGACTTTGTTCATGTAAATGGAGACTCCTCTTCATTATCTTCCTCCAGTCTCCAGTAAAACTGTGAGGAACTGGCTCCCTGTCAAATCCAGAATTGAATTTAAAACCTTTGTCATCACATACAAGGTCTTGAATATCCTATTTTCATTTCATATATTCATATATTTGTTAGCTGTTGTCTTCCTTTGGGCTTGAAACAAACTGTCCATTCTCCCCATCCCTTAGCATCAACTAAGCATTTTTGCCCAGCGAACTGCCACCAACTGAATATATTCTCTCTTTCTTTACAATCCAATGTAAACCATAGAAAGATGGTTTCTATGGCTTTCTTTACAATCCAATTGTTGTTAACATAATTTAATGGATTTAAATTATACTGAAACACATGGATTATTCCACCCTCTTGCAAGAAAGCCTACGTTTACTGTCTCCTTGATGCTTGAGATTTGGGAGCAGGAAGACAGTCTGACAAGCTCGAGGTATGAGAGAGGAGGAATGAGTCAGAAGCACGACAGCATACATGCATGTGAATGAGAGGCAAACATTCAGTGAAGATGCAAGGAGCAGAGGTAGTGAAGGCAGGTAACTTTAAATACCTGAATCCATCCAATGTGCACAGGAGAGGTGAAGAGGAGAGTGCGTATTTAAACTGGATCTGCCTTTTAATCTTATTTAGTATAATAATTGTTTTATGTACGTCTTATTTTGACTTCTGTGTTTGCTTGTTTTATATTTTATTTTTATAAGTTATATATCATTTTATATGTAAGTTACTATGTTTGTGCGTGTGTGTGTGTGTTTATCTGGTTAAATTCAGTTTGGTTCAGACAAGTCTTCACGATAAAAATCTTTAATATGTTTTTGAAATTTGGTTTTGAAACATGTAAATCTATTTTTCTGTTTCCAGGCTGTGTATCTATTCATTTAGTGGCACAGCCATTACTTACATCAATACTGTGATTTTAAACGAGGGCTTCTGTCTAAACTGCAGGACAGATGAAAACCTGGTTGGATTCATTACAAACATAATCCAAAGCATAAAAACAAGGAGCTGAAAGCTATGACGAAAAAAATAGAATAAATGTTTAAATATTGATTTCGTGTTCATCCTCACTGGTTTGCCAGTTAGTTTGTCATGGTCCCCGTGCCTGCTCGGCTGGCCCTGTGTGGCTACATGTTATGTTTTGTCTTTTCTCTCTCTCTCCTCTCTCTCTGCTCGCTGCCTGGGCGGAGCTCGTTGTGAGCTCCCGGCCTCCACCACCTGTAGGCAATCACCTGTGGCTCCTCACCTTGTTTGCTCCCGCTACTTAAGGCAGTGACTGAGAGCACCTCGCCGCTGGACTATTGAGTAACGCTCGTCAGTGCTACTTTAGCCTCAGCCAGTTTTGAGCTCTGTCCGTGAAAGTTCTGTGCTAACTCTTGTTCTCTGTATGCAGATTTCTCGTGCTTGGTTTGGAGACTCTGGACGCTTTTTTCCGACCCCTCTCTGCACCCCTGGGAACCCTGGCCCCCTTCTCCTTCACCTGTATATAGTGCACCTGGAGTGTGTAAATAAACCTGTTTTTCTGAGACTTCAGTCTGCGCCGAGTCCTCCCTGCTCCTCCGTGACATAGTTACTAGTTTAGTTATGCTGGTATTGATCAGTCAAACCTGAGAAACTGATCAGTGTTTGTCTTACTGTCATTCAAGTACAGAGGTTAATTAGAGCCTTTGTTGAATGCTGAGCATCATAAGAAAAGAAAAGAACGGGACGGTCTAGTATTAAGTCTTGACAGATAAATGCTTCACGCTCTGCTGCAAAAGCAGCCGTCAGTAATTTCTCCAGACCGTGGTCAAATTTGGTGCCATTTTTTGCCTACACACCTAACTTCTTACGTCAAATGATGTGCCGCACAGGTTCACCGGATTCTCGCACTCTGCCAAATCACCACAGCTTACACATGAACCGTGTGTGAGCTCCAATCCCGTCCCAAGCACGACACCAGTGCGTTTGTTCAAGAAAGATTATATAAAGATAAACATTGGGTGTGATTTTTAAACGGACGCTGAATGAATCACATGGATGGATTACTTTCACATACTTTATTCATAAAATCACAGATGCATACTTCTCATTCATACAAAACGCAGCCAGTTATATTCAGTGTTCTTTGGAGTCAAAGTCTTTTACTGAACCAAAACTTCTGTTCTGGCTGTGATGTACACTTCAGTGCGGCACATTAACAGAAACCTTTCCTTCAGTTTCAGGTATACTTTTCTCAGGGGAGATTGTGCATCAGTAGAGGTATCAAGTGCAACTCTCTGCATGTGCGTAGCTCTCACGCTAAGCTGGGCTCCAGGCCAGCGTTGTCGGCACCCGCCGAGAGCCTGTTGGTTTTGGAGTGGGTCATGTTCCAGCGCTGCATTCTCCTGCGGTAATTTTCAGAGTCCACTGTATCCATGTGAGCTGATTTCAAAACTGTAGATGGGTGCAGTGTGTTGCATAAAGCTTGAAAAAACAGCCTGTAGAGAAGAGCACATCAGTCAGTCCTCTAGAGCTGTGGCTGCACGTGACATTTTCAAACTTCATTGATTTCGCCTTTTTTTCTATTAACGACTTCGCTCTAAAGCAGTGGTTCGGTTTAGACTCTGCTTCATGCTGATAAAAGTCCTAATTTAGAAAACAATATGTAACGTGACATTTTGATTAGACTTTAACAAGCAAGCGGTTCCTTGTGGAGTGCCAGCCAAGTCTGGCTCCTGACATATATGATGGTGCTGTTACACGTTTGTTGCCTTACAATTAAGTAACGTCAAACCTTACACCCTCAACATTGACTGAAAACAGCTCAGTTAGTTTGTGAGTAAAGAACTATACTCAAGACAAAAACATATCACAACAACACGTCACCTTAAGGTACTCTCACTCACTGATAAGGGAAAATAAAACTAACCCACTCTAAGTTTGATCAACCCCCATTTCATTCCAGTCAGTTTTAGGAACACACACACCAAAAAACCCCTCTGGGTTTTTTAAAAACGCGGACCAAAAGAAGGAAGTTTGGCCCTTCCAAACAAAATATGCACAATATATGACATTTTATTACTTCTTCTTCTCTTTAAACAAATAGACCAGGCCGTTCGAGGTAGGCCACTCCTGGTCCGCTGTTGGAACGAACTCCTGATGCAGCCGTTTGTTTAGCCTACCCTCAGACTTACTAAGTGAGGAGGATATAATATGTTTGTGTTAGACGGAGTGAATGGGCTGAGCCCCTACTGAAACCTCAAAACCATGAAATCCAGCTGGTTAGCTGGGCTTGGACGTATATGCAATAAATAAACACAGAATAGGTGGCCTTCTGGCTATCAGTGTAAAATCATGCATCATGCATATGTTACTTACTACACACACTATGTAAAGTATGTTTTTAATCATATAAAGTCACATTAAAATAGTTTTATTTGTTCCTGTGAAAAACTGAGTGCAACTCATGATTCAGTGGCTTATAGAAAGTCCTTTAGCAGCATCAACTTTAACAGTCTGTGTCATCACTGGGGAGGAATTCTGCTGCACTCTTCTCTTTGTTTCTTCAGTTGTTGAGATTTCCAGGCATTTGTTTCTGCAGCGCTCTCTCAACATCCAACCGCAGCATTTCAATTTCAGTTCCTTGTTTCTTTTCTTTTTCAGCCACTCAGTAGAGTTGCTGATTTACTTGAGGTCACTGTCCTGTTGCACAGCGTCAGTGACAGCAAAGTGCCCAGGTCCTGTAGCTGCAGCATAACAAACTGTTCTCGTTTGCTCGGATGCAACCTAAACCATACTGCTGTTCTCTTTACATGAACAGACTTTCTCCTGAAAACTCTTACAAGCAAGCCACACTTGCTCAGCACCAGTAGGGGGTGCAGCTATCAATTATTTTAGTAATCAAGTAATCCATTTATTATTCCACTGTTTAATCAAGTAATCAGATAAGAAATACTTTTGTCTTATTACTGAGAAATAGTAACTATTCAAAAGAGAAAGTTGAACTGCATACAACACCTGTCAAAAACCCCTCAACCTTTTGATTGTATGTACGTACCATATTTAAATTAAACTTTTAAAGAAAACGTTTTCTTAAATGCAAAATTATATAAATAATCTCATGTACTGTCAAAGGTCAAATCAAATAAGATAAATGTACCTTTGCTCTGTCTGCCTGAAAAACTTTCAAATTAGGGAGCAAGTTTTTGTGCTGCTGAAAACAGATGTAATGATGATGAACACATTAAGTAATGTAAATAATATTTAAGTATTCAACCCGTAGCTGGACTGGCCATCGGGCATACTGGGCATTTGGGCCGATGGTGATTTTTCGTTTTTATGGGCCGATGTTTTTTTGTTTGTTTGTTTTTTTGTAACTATATAAACAATAAAATGTGGTGGATTGGCCAGATGCTGGCAGATGTGTAAAATGTAAAACTAACTCAGTTGTTTGGTGGTGGCTGTG